GTGGGTAGCCCAAGCACTTAGTACACATATGTATGTACCTCGACCATTCTCATCATCTGCGACAATATCGAAACCATTAGAAAAATTATAGGACAAAGAGATCAGTAGTGTTTAACAAGTAACGTTCGCAAAAGTATTAAAAAATTATAAAACTGGATTGTTAAAATTTAATATTATTTTTTGTTACGTTGGTTAATGATTAATTCATTAGTATTATTATTATTATTATTGTTAATTTTGTGGGAAATTTATAGTAATATTTTTTTGCATATTCTATTGTATACATTTACGTAGAAAGCAAAAATCTAGTTTTGTTTTGAATAGAACATCCTCTAAACAACTACATGGTTATCTTCATTTCCACTAACAAGGATGTGAAGCATAATTAATACATCAAACGACTTACCTGAAGGAAGTTCGATCCTAATTATGCGAGCATCCTTGTTAGTGGAAATAAAGTCCCACCTCCACCATATTTATATTATTTTTGACCCCAAACTCCTAGGCCCCACAACAGGTAATGAGTATAATGTAGACAGGCAGCGATAGAGAGTGACGTAAAATTTTATATCTGAACATGTGGGTCAGCGGCGTAACATAGGTATACTACATGATTACCTTTATTTCCACTAACAAGGATGCTCGCATAATTAGGATCGAACAAATTATAAACATTATTAAACATAAACCAATTCCAAATAACACCTCTGTGCTTTTTAAATAAAATATGTTATGCCAAGTGTTTCTATTTATTAAATACATAAACAGGTTTATCAGCACATAACCGTTCAAATTATGTAATACATTTATAATTATCCTATAAAAATGACTACTATTCAGACCCTTTAAGCTGATTATTTAAGAAAATCCGCAAATAAAAAAATATCCTGTTAAATTTATTTCACTTTAATTTTATGGTCCTGTGTTTGTTAACATTTTCCAAAATTGTATTTGCATAAGGGATATTTATTCAGTTCTTTTCGTAATGGAATCATATATTTCATTTTCTATGTATTCCATTTTTTATCCGGACTGGAACATTAAAACTTTTTAATGGTGATGTCCATGAAAGATTAGGTTCTAGACGTTTTGGCTATTATCTTAATCTCAATCTATCAGATAGGTATGAAGATTTAAATCCTAAACGTACCTCACATCCTCTTCATGTTTTGTGGTGGAAGAATTCAGTTTCAGATAAACACTATCTTGTTTATCCTCAAGAAAAATGCATATCAACTGATTAACTATTAACTATTAAGCTTAATTGGAAATAAACTCTCGTTTTGTATATAAAAGAGCACCAAATATTTTTTATTTTAAATTTTTTTGCACAAGGGTTCAATATCTGCCTATAATGAGTTTTGTTGGAATTTTCTTGTATTATTGAGCATATGATGTGATTTATTGTTATTTTCATGTGAATTAGTATATTACATTACGAGTGTGGAAAATAACTTTTCACACAAGTGATGTACAATATTTTTCCTACGACCACAAAATAATTTCATCAAAAAATGTAAAACCAGGTTATTATAATAATTAAAAGGTATTAAAAAAATAATCAACATAATCATATTTATTTAATTTTCATATTTTCTAAACAAAAAAAACTTAAAAAACAAAAAAAAATAAAAAAAACTTCTGGCCCCGCCAGGATTTGAACGCGGTCGCTCGCCAGATCTCAAATGGCAAAGTTGATAACTTTTGACACTTTAACCATCTAAGCTACTAGGCCTTGTGTCAATTGAATGATCAAATCGGTTATGTGTTTAATCAGAATAAAGAGCAAACATATCTTAGTTATTTTAAAATTATTTTAATAATAATTGTTAAAGATAAATATATAGGATATAATTTACAACAATTTCAATAATTTAACAATCATATCGATTGTAGTATTAATATGGACATTACATAGATCAAAATAGAAATGATGTGTAATGTCAAACACATGACAGCTGCTGCGGAAAGTAGCATATTCGTACACGGGTGGAAAGTAAATTCTTATTCATACGCGTGTGATATAGGGCACTTTCCATAGGAATGTATAGTGTGATATGTGTCACTTTCCTAAATAAAAGTTTCCGGAAGAAATTGTTTGATAAAAACAATCAGTTTTATTATAGATTAATTTATACTATTTTTGTCAATGTCAAATAGAACCGAACCATGAGATGAGAGTCATTAAAATTTAAACTACACTAAAAAAATTATATAATTAGGTACAAAAAAAAACTATAAAGGAAGATTGACTAGCTGGCTCAAAATAATACAAGGTAAATTTTCAACATTACAAATAAAGTTATTATTATTTAAAAAAAATAAAACCTATACAATACATAGCCCACAGTCCACTTTGCTCTACATTTACAAATAACTGACACTGTCGTGCCAGAATTTTATAATTATTCAATTAATCGTTAAATAATTTTATTTACAACTGTCATGTAATGACACTGATTTGACACTTATTTAAATTTTGTAATGACGTATATTACCGTACTAGTGCGGTAAAGATGCGGAACTAATAGTTAATCAAAATTAATCATTTATTTAACAAAACAGAACAAATATAACCTTAATAATGAACTCAATATAAATAAATTATTTGTTATAGATATTTATAATACAATCCTTGCAATCGTACAAATTCATGCCAGATGCAGACATGCCCGATGCCCTATAATTGCAGATATTAGTTTCCATATGTTTTGAAGTCGATGGTATATTTTCTTGGTTTTCTCTATCCTTGCAATCGTACAAATTTATGCCAGATGCAGACATGCCCGATGCCCGATAATTGCAAATTTTAGTTTCCATATGTTTAGAAGTCAATGGTATATTTTCTTGGTTTTCTCCTAAGATTTTCATAGCTGTTTTTTTCTTATTTTCTGCCGAAGTCTCAATATATCCTTCAGCGACAGAATTAGACTTCCAGCCACCATGTCTTTTAATATTTAGAAGATCTGCACCAGAGTCGGCTAAAATTGAAAATGAAGAACGCCGTAAACAATGCCCTGTATACTGCTTTGGATTGGGCAGTTTAAGAAATTCGGCAATTAATCTTGGAACACTACCAATAGTTTTTATTCCAATAGGTTGTGTTGTGCTGTATCCAACAAAAAATCGTTGATGGCCACAACTTTTAGATCTTAATGTAGAGTATTTTCTAACAATTGTAACTAAATTAATACCATCAATGTTCTCAGATGTAACAAAAATTCTCGCGATATTTTTGTTTTGGTATTTGGAATGACAATTTGATAGCACAATCCTTGATATTTTACATTTTCTATAAATTATTTTTTGTTAACTCTTCTCTCTGACATGCACCAGCCAAACCAATAATTAGCAGCACAACCTTAAAATATATATTACATTAATATTTATTTACATTTATACAAATATCTATTATATATTACCTTCATGCATAAAAATTTCTCATCTCCTGCATTTACAATAAATTTAGTTATCTCTTCTTTCGAAAATACCTTAGATTTCTTAGGTTTGTACCCTTCTGATTTTCGTTTTAACAATGCTATCAAATTGAATGTTTTTTGATATCGATATTTTGTTTAATAAGCAATTCTGTCCTCAACATCGAGTAGTAACACCAAAGAGATGTAGGCTTCTGTAATTTACTCAATTCGTTGAAATATACCAGTAATGCTTGTTCATTTGTAATATTTAAAATGTTCTTATCTTTACACCATTTGTCATATTTGTCAAAAGTTTAGTGATATCTCTCACGTGATTTCTGTGGTACTAAATTTTCTATTATGCCGGTTGCTGTATTTTCAATATCTTGTGGAAGATCGTCTTCATTTGAAGACATAATTGATAATATATGTACTTGTAATGGTTATTTGAGCGACAATAAGTCAGAATTTTTACGATTTTAAACGCCACTTTGACAGAAGTTGATTATTAATTCCGTTGCTATGGTTACAAAATATTGTTACAAAATATTGTCAATTTTAACAATAGGCCTACATAATTTTATTCAATATAATTTCGGAGTTATTGTTACATGACAATTGTAGATAAAATATTGTACAATATTCGTGCCGGTAACAAATTAATATACTTATATGATTGCAATTTTCACATGCATATATTAATAATGTTCATACCGCACTTATATCGTAAATATCTATTAATTTACTCAAATTTATCTCTTCTTATTCTCCCTGTAAGCATTCAATGCTTAGAGCAAATCACTTTAATTACGGATGAATCAGAAACTTAAGTCCTTTGATAAACACTTATAATTTTCTTGAGCGTTAATCGTTAATACAGTAGTAATATAATTAAAATTTCCACACATATACATACAACGTATCCTTGCGATGTTCGTTGGCTTTATACTAAATTTCGTTTTAATCTCAATTACTTAAGCAAATTGCTTTGCAAAGGCGCGCTGCAGGGTGAAGAAGGCAATTAAATTGTTTTTCGTTTTATCACGAACAAATACTTTGTGCTCCGTACTTTTGAGATTAGGACCGGTTCCCTCATATACCGTTCGGAAAAGGTATTTAAATTATATAATTGATTAAAAGGAGATTTGCTACTTGAAAGAGTTTGTAAGTAGGTTCAAAAAACTCCATAAATATAAAAATCGGAAAGAACAAAGAATCCGGGAGGATTATAATTGGATTTTTCTAACCGTCCAGCATGTTGTTATGAGCGAGTCCTCTAAAATTAACCTTGAGATGGTAATGATCTCATCGTCAGCAAAAAATGTGTTATCCTGCTAACTCACATGAAGCCCAATTTTCACTATACAGAAAAAACGGTCCCTTTAATACAAAAGTGTGCATAGAACGACATATTTTAACAAAAGGATTCTCAGTATTTTGCAAACTGTTTTTAATAAATCGTATGTAAAAAAAAATAATTTTTTTTCTACATCCATAAAATGGAGTTAACAGTTTTAAAAATTCTCTTTACGAATAAAAATCGCGAAGATTGCAGTATTTTTTATTAACTTGAATTGCAATGACATTGAACAAAAACGACAAACTAAGCATTTTAAAAACAAAAGTAAACTTAAAATAAAATAATTTCGTTACAAAATAATTTTTTATTATGTAATTATTCATGTAACAAATCATTGTAGAAGCCATGATAATCGGCTGATAAAGTTGACTTGGAGATCAGAATATTTTCGAGCTGAGATTTCAATTTTATTTTGATGAAGACTATCCAGTTCAGCCCATGTTTTTGTACTGAGTTCTTGTCGTCTTCGTTGAGGAAGAATCGTCCATTCTTCCGACAATCGCAGTTTGTCAAATATTTCACCCTCGGGTGTATACTTTAAACCACGAATGTCATTAACCTAAAATAAAAAAATATTAATTTAAGGAACTAAAGACAACATTAGGAATAATATTTACCTTAGCAGCTCCAGGCTTTCCTCCAGGTCTGATACTTTTTACCATTTTAACATTTTTAAACGACTTGAAGAAGGTATGGTCCAAATATTTTACATTAAAGGGTGTAGGATTCATTCTTGCTTTTTTACATTGAAATGCGTATTCGGCTGGAATATTAATTTTTCTTGACTTCACGTGACGTTCTATTGTGGAATGCATTGAATCCACTGGCATCTGGGTGTGTCCCACTTCAAGATACTTATGTTCAATTGTTGTTTGATATTTTTTTGTCAAATTAATAGCAACATTAGACAGCACGCTATTACGATTTTGGTATGCGCATCCATCACTCCAAAAAACGATATTTCTATTTTCTTTATCAATAAATGAAATAACGTGGGTTTCAATGAAAAAATGAAAGCATGAAAATTATTCTGCATTAAGCCCCCCTTCTCCCTCGTGTCATATATAACATCCTTATTATTAATGTCAATAACACAAATTATGCACGTACAATTTCGTCTTATAGTAAAGACTGCTAATGTTAGATTTTGGTGAGAGTAAAACAGCCTGAAAATCGACGGTATAGACAAATTTTTCATTTTCTTTATCTTTTTCCATTTCGCTTCTAGCTTCCCTTTTTCTTGTCATTTAATTGTTATGGTCTTCCTCTGTGATGTAGCCTTTCTTGAATTTATTACAAATTTCGCAAATTTAACCTGAATAATGACATATTTTTTGACTTAAATGCTTTTTTGAATGTAGTGCTGCTCAAAGGGTGAATATTTTTGAGTACACACCATTACTTTTTGTAGAATTTGTAAAGTTCATCTTTTGAGGTCCACTCGGACAATAGGTAATTTTTGCTTGAAGAGGATCTGCAGTAATGATATTTCATTGTTGGTAATGAATCAAAAAACTCTTGTATGCTGTTGTTTTCTGTTTCAAATAGTTTCTTTTTATTTTTTTTTTTCATTTCTATATACAGTTGTTGTTTTTAGAGTTTTTTTCTGCATCATCAGCTTTTTCGTAATTTGAAAACGTATTTTTCCAATTTTGAATACTCCAATGACCCAAACCTACTGTGTTTAAGTACATTGTTCTACAAACTCTTATTTCCTGATCGCCTGTTTTTAAATAGTACTTAAAAGTTTGGTTTCTCCTTGATTGTTCTGGTACTTTTCTATCTCTTGCCCTTTTAATAAATTCACTCTTCACAGTACTGTCCACAAATACCTTGTTTTCTCCCCAATATAGGCTCTAAAAATATTCGAATATGTCTTTTCTTGGTTTTTCTGTTATTTGACTGCATTTTAAAGTTTCGTTTTTAACTCTACACTGGCATCTTTCTTTGATCTCTCTTGGCTCTCTTTCTATATCGTAAGATCACTTTCCGTTTACTTTAGTTCTACCAAAGTATTGCTTTCCATTTTCTCGTCTATTTTTATTCTTCTCTGAAAACCACGTTGCTTTTACCACTTTAAATCTTTTTCGTCGCGTCTTTGTTTTTGTTGGCATTTCATCAGAACTACTGTCAGTCTCTGAATATGGCACTAAATTAAGTGTATCGTAGTCACTATCATCTGATATGTCATATGCTGATGCACTTTCTTTTGTTTCAAACCTGCTTGTTCCTGCTGTGTTTTCTTTGTATATAATATTATTTATTACATGCTTGCCGGTTCCTTGTTCACCTTTTGCTATTTCTGTTCTATAATTATTAGTCTCTTTTTTATCTGTAATTAGCTACTATATCAGCTACTTCATGATATCCTGCCTCTTCCATTTTACTATTGGTATCATTTACATCCATGGTTTCCAATATTTCTGATTCCATAACATCTTAATAATTTTCATTTAATGGAGGTGTTGTAATCTTGTCTTCAGAAAATGACGATTGGTAATCAATAATTTCAATGTTAACATTTTCAACGATATGAAAATTATTTACGGACACAATAATGTTAATATCTTCATTTGAATTATATTACATACACCTTGCCTGGCTGCAAATTTTAAAATGTCCTTTGTTCGTTTTGACATAATATCTGATTCCATAACATCATAATAATTTTCATTTAATGGAGGTGTTGTAATCTTGTCATCAGAAAATAACGACTGGTAATCAATAATTTCAATGTTAACATTTTCAACGATATGAAAATTATTTACGGATACAATATTGTTAATATCTTCATTTGAGTTATTATTACATACGCCTTGCCTGGCTGCTAATTTTAAAATTTCCTTTGTTCGTTTTGACATAATATCTGTAAAATAAGAAAATATCTAGAAGATTATTCAAAAAAATAATAACAGATAGTTTTTGTATGCTTCATTGTACTAAATTATCATTGTACTTAAATATCTAAACGAAAATAGATATAAAATTAATTTGACCTTATATTTACATGAAGCATCCAACTTCTTAAACTAGTTAGGTAGACTACTTTTCAATGGACCCTATACAAGTGAATTTTTACAAAATAAAAGCAATTTGTTTATTTTTATTTATTCATGGATAGTAAAAAAACAAGGAAAACCTGCTATATCCAAACCTTTACTTGAACTTAGGGCACACGATAAGCCGCTAACTCCAAAAATAGGTTAATTGGATTTTTATCTTAAAATCGTCAATTTTATTAAAATACAATATAAAATATAAAATATGTTATTACTTTTTATAATAAAACAATACAGAAAAACAAAAATACTGGCACTAAATAGGAAAAAAAAACTGAAAACTTTGAGAGTCAAAATAACACGTGCACCTGTTGCATACAATAAGCTGGAGATAGCTGTATTTCATTGCGCATCATACAACATAAAGTTGACTGGTATTCGTGCGTCACAAAATAGATAATTTCTACACAGAATAGCGAGTTAGCTGGTTTATAGGTCGATGCAAGGCGCCATATAGTTGACAGATATCGAAAAATCTCAAAATCGTAAAATATGGAGTCAGCAGGTTAACACATTTAGGCGACGATATAATCTTAAAGTTTCCTTTAATTGATTCTGGAAGCTCATTATTAGAGAGCAAGCCTATATGTACCTTTAAAGTTTCTAGAAGGTACTCTGGTTAAAATATTTACCGAGAGTGCTGACATTACTGTGAAATGTGTGGAAACATAGTTACCAGGAGAACCTAGAATAACATACAATTTGTGAAAAATGACTAAACTTAATTTCTGACCCATAAAATGAATACATATTTTCCGTTTTTAGTGTATTGAGGCTCAAATTTTTGTGGTGTTTAAAATATATAATCGTTGCTCAGCATTTTATTAAAGAAAGTTGAATCAGATTGTAATATTTCGAAGCCAACACTACCATTACACTATGGTGTCATAATATATGGCTTCTGGCAAAGCAAACCATAAAAAATTGTAATTCACCACGATAATACTTTGGTGGTAATACCTCAGAGGTGATGTTGAAATTGACCAACAATAATTAGATACCTAGATACCTAGATAGATAATATTTATTATATACCTATGTAAACATTAAAATTGCCCGCCACTGGAAACATTTTATCCTGTCATTTAAGCTTCGAAAATTACGACAAATTTTGGAGTGGTGACAGATGTCAGCATTCCATTACACATTCCTGAAAATTTTCCACTGTCTATAATTAACGTTACGTAAAATGAACTCTAAAACCTGTTTACTTCACATGTGGTTTCCCTACTATCTTGCTGAAAGAGAAGACGCTCTACTAATGCCGTCAATAGGAAATATATATTCTTCTTTTTGATTTTCTTAAGATTTTGAGATAAATGCTTCGATGATTTCTGAAGCCAAGAAAATATTGCTTTTAAAAGTAAAATATTATTACTATTTATAAATGTTACACGTGCGCCCATGAAGCAATTAATCCAGCAGCCAAACACAGCAAGCTGAAAACAATGTGAACAATTGAATTATTAAACATCTATTTTCTGTTATTAAACTGTATTGCTTGTCGTGGAATGGATAATTAATTTAAAAGGATTTTTCAGCATTGTGGAACAAAATAATACTGATAAATTTCGTACAGAATAATCAGTAGTAATACTATAAGTACTTTAAAATAATCAGGTTATACATCGATAACTTGTTGCATAATTATAAAGAGTGTCAGTTTGACAGTTTAAATAATCCGACCGCGAAGCGGGAGGATTATTCTGTCAAACTGACACGATTTGTAATTATGCAGGAAGTTTGAGATGTATAACCGTATTTATTTTGAAGTACGTATTGTATTTGATACGATTATTTTTTGAGTAAATTAAGTAAATATCAACAATTTATTAATTTAAATACATATTGGTACAATGAAAATTACAATTATTAATTATTGATAAACGTCAAAATTTGACGGTCCTGTTAGTTAGTGTATTGTTGTCGATGTGGTTACTACGGAAATGAAATTATTGTAAATATTTTTGATTGGTGGAGCTACTCTATGTATAATCAGGTATTATCGAAATTATACGAGGTAACTTAACTGAATTGAACGTTCTAATTGGTTAAAAGTTATACGAAAAAAATAATCACGGGTAATAATACAAGAGATTAACTTTTTTGAAAATATTTTGTTTTTTTTTTAAATTATGAATCTAAATATCATGAAACAAAATCCTTCTTAAAATGCTACGAGTTGTCAGTCTGAAAGGATTAATTCTGGGGCCGTTGTATTTCATTGTATCCATAAACAATTTATGCAACTTTATGAAACTTCATCACTTTATATTATTTGCTGATGATTCTACATTAATTATTTATTTATTTGAGTGCGTTTTGTTAAATATATATTATAGTTTTAAGGGGTCTATTCGGTAACGTTTTAGTTAATTTTAACCCTAGGTTAAAAGGTTATTTATAACTATGAGGTTTATATTTTAACCCAACTCTATACGGTATTTCATCAATTTAATTTTGTGTTGTTATATATTTTATTGCCAATCGCATTTAAACTAGACATTGTAATATAACGGCGTTACTTTGCAATAAAATGTTAATTTCAAAACACTTATAAGAAATGACACAAAAAAACATCCGGTTATATAGTGTGAAACAGCCAAATGGAATAAATTCGGTAATAATTAAATGGGGAGTGTTCGCAAAAACGATTGGTATTTTTAGTTGCGCATTTTCTTAACAGAAACTTTTTATACAGGGTGTGTCATTTAACAGTGGCCAATACCAACTTACTTATTTTAAATGCAACACTCTCTATATTTTTCAATTTTTGGATTCTTCAGAACATTCTAGATATATTTTATGTACTATGTCCTATACGACTAGTCGGCAAACTCATTAGTCAACAGAGCCAAATAGCAACAGTAATTTCTTATGAGAGCCATTTTTTTAATTTTAAACTATATAGGTGTATATTGTTGTTAACTTAATTAGGCTACTAAAGCTGGTCTTTGCTAAAAATGTCCTCAATCTGATTGAAGTACGTTTGCTGATGTCGACCCTATTTAACTCTCTCATCCACACTCATCGTCTTGTAAACTTGTTTTGTCTATTTCTTATCGTTCATCCTCTTTATACATATTAGAAAAAATTATACGAGGTCATTGGCTATATACACTGTTAGTGAACATCTATTTCTATATTTTGTAATATGATATTGTTATTTTATCTATTTTTATAGTGTTTTAAGCTCTATGATTTTGGGGAGTGGGTCAGGTTATTAAAAAACTCGTATTACTTTGAAAAAGAATGTTGAGCGCCACTATATTTAAAACTTTCTAAACTTGACAATCGATTAGTAATGAAAATATAGAAAATCACTAACCATTAAGATATTATAATTATATATAAGGTTTCAGATAAGGCAGCGACAAATTCTAATTCACAAAGACTTACTTATTCAAATTTAAATGATTTATTATAGACTTATCTGTGGTATAACAGGTATTTTAGGAGTGACTGTAAAGGCCTTCTTAAAGGGGATTCTTATGATACGCTTGGATATCACCAACTGTTAAATCTTCATAGGCAAAGTTAAATCTCGTAAACTTCTTTGGATGGCTCGAACTAAACCTCTTGATATACTTGAAACAACTTCTGTAGCTGGAACTAAACTTCTAAGTTTCAATACTTCTACACATGCAGTTTGAACGTTCTTCCAAACAATCTTTTTCGATAAAACTTCTACAAAACTTCTACAGAACCATCGATATAACTTCTATAGAACTTCTACTGAACTATCTAGATACAGCTTCCATAGAACCATTTATATACAGCCAGGCTACAAGGAAAAAGGTAAAAATATCAAGAAGGGAACCAGGAAGAATATATAGGAGACAGATAATGCTTTTTACTATTAAATGAACAAATTAAACTATTATTTGAATACTTACACAGAGACTAGAATTAATATGAATAGGAAAAATCCCATTTAACATATTTAAATATAGTAAAGCATATTATCTCTTCCAAACAAAATAATAGATAAAATTATATAAAATATTTTATCATGTGTTACTCAATGTTGAGGTTATGTTTCAGATTTGACATTTTAATTAGAATTTCTTGTACAAAATATATATTTTCAACAAAATATCGGTAGAAAACTTACCTTTTTAAAATCAGACGGTCATTAAAAATATTAAAAACAATTAGTACATCGGATGTCCAAGATAAAAAATAATTAAAATTCAATAATTTAACTTGCTCGTTGACAGCTATAAATATAAATGAATTGCCAACTGTTGACACAAAGCATAAACGACAAATGACATTAGGGTAGAGATGTTTGCGTCAAAATAACGAAAACGGTTACAACCGTTCCAATGTTTGGGTCTTAATAACGAAATCGGTTTTAACCGTTACAATTTTGTGTACAACGACTACCACCTTTCCTGTGACCTGCGAGCGTGCGAGCTCATAGAAAGTTCCGATAGTATTACATGAAATATTAATGGTATCGTTCTTTCTAATTAAATAAATACAATATTTACATAAACCTCCAATTTTAGAATAAGGAAATATATGAAAATGAAAAATAATTTTTAATTAAATCTTAATATTTTTGACCATTACGTTTAAGATCAATGAAAAATGGCCTATAATGTGGTCCCTTTAAATGCCAGTACAAACATTTAATTTCTGAGGATACTGTGTGCATGACTCAATACTTAAATGTTTATTTTTTCGAGCACAATATCTCTGGATTGTTGATTGTGCAATGAAAAATTTGACTTGTCGTTAAATAAAATGTATTTTAAAAATCTGATGTGTCCAACACATGATTTTCCTATCTAGTT